TGGGAGGCACCCGCTGCCCCCCGCCCGCCCGGGGCCGCCCCCGCCCCGCCGCGTGGACTCGGGGCTCGTCCCGGCAGGGCCGGTCCCGCTGCCCCGGGATGAACCGGGGAGGGCGGCGGCGGCGGGGCCGCGCTCGGGTCCGGGGCCGGGGCTGGCGCTGCCTCCCGGGGCTCCAGCGCAGCTCTCGCTGTGACTAAGCAGAGCTCCGCGGCCGAGCCGCTTCCCACCGCGGGAGGAAGAGCAGAGGCGGCTCCCCTCCCCCTCGGCCCCGGTGCTCCATCGCCCACGGCCCTGGCCCGCGGAAAGGGAGGGATGGCGGGAGGAGCGGGATGGCTGCGGCTCCCGGCGATGCTGAAAACCGGAGACTCCTGCACCAACCGGCCGCCGGTCCCGGCATCGCTGCCCGAACGACGCGTCCTGCGCCAGACATGTTGTCTGAGCCCCGCTCGCCGCCTTCCCACCCGCCGTGCCCTGCCCGCTCGACGCGGCGCTGCCCCGGGACCAGGGCTGGCTGCTCCCGGCCGCCCTGGTCCCCCTGCACACCCCCAGGGTGGGTCGCTGGCAGCTCTAGCGCGAGCAGAGGATGGTGCTAGAGCAGAACGGGCGGTTTTGCACCATGTCCTTCTTCAAGGACCATCCGTGACTCGTCCCATGTGGGTGACCCATGTGGCTGGGCAGCCCTGGCTGCTCCCTGTCTTGCCACCCAGTGCCCTTGGCTGCCAGTGTCCTGGCTGCCAGTGGAGACGGGATTTCACTCCCAGGACCGGGTCCCATCATGGTGTGGGGTAGCCAGTGGCACTGGAGGCCAAGAACTCACAAAGGGCATTGAGGGCAGGGTGTGACCCTGCGGAGCAGCCCAGGTGGGCAGTGGACATGGTGGGCAGAAGGATGAGGACCGAGGCAGGGAGGAGGCAGGGGTCTGTTCTTATCCAGATTTCCCCTGGCTTCTCCAACCCTTCTCCTGGCACGGTGGAGAGGGAGGGTGAGCTGGTTGCCCGCCAGCGCCTGTGTTTGGGAGCAGCAGCTCGAGAGCTCTCCCAGTGCGGGAGCCACTCTGTGAAACCGTCAGAGCAACGTGATGCGACGTGCGGAGCGGTGATGTGACAGTCCCGTGGTGCCATGTCCAAAATAGTTAGCACAGCTCTCGCTCCTCGGAGGGCTCCAAGCAGGGCAGGGCAGGGCAGGGCAGCACCACAGGCAGCCTGCCGGGAGCAGAGCGGGATCCTGCACGGCCCAGCCCTGGTAGGTGCCGCATCCACGTTGTGAGGCACAGGCCCTGTTTCTTGGGGGGTGCTGAGCACCTGCTCCCTGCAGGGCTGGATCCCATGCCCTGCCTTCCAGCCAGGTTTCTGTTTTCCCAGCGTGATGCTAGCAGACAGGTTCTCAGGACCGTGGCTGGGCCGGCTGCCCTCGGCACTGACGGTGCCACACGGGTCACCCCAAGGACGAGGGCACCTCCTGTCGCCACTGCTGCTGTGCCCAGATGGATGGTGGGCAGGTGTTCCTGCCCCTGCCCTCGGGCTGTTTGGGGCTGCGCTGTGACCACAGTCACAGTTTGCTCTGGGGGTGCTGGGGTGCAGCAGCGGCTCCAGCTCTTTCCTCCGCATATATTTTAAACCCTGGAAACCCCCCAGCAGCTCTGGCTGTGCTCTGGCCACAAGATCCCAAGTTCCCCTTGTTGCTCTCCAGCTCGGCACGTCACCACCGGCTTGACTGTGCCACGGGAGCTCGGCAGCCTCTGCCACAGCCCAGGGGTTGGGGCAGTTCCCCCATGGCTGCTCCCCACACTCCCATCCTGGAGCCTGACAGGGCATGGGCCTGGGGAAGGGGGGCTGGATGCCCCTTCCTTCTGCCTGGCACCCACCACGGGCACCTGGCTGTGCCCTCTCAGCTGCCCTGCTGCCTGTGCCTCTCCTGCCCTGCTCCAGCCTGTCCCCAGAGGCCTGACCCCGAAGCGACGCTGTGGGCAGTGGGCACTGAGGGCTGATGCTTGACCTGCCCTGGTGCTGCCGTCTGTGTTTCACTGGCTCCAAGCTGGCGGGGAGAGGAGCCAGCCTTGGGTGACAGTGCCTGTGTGCCTGGAGACAGGCTGTGGGTGACTGTCCCTTGGGGGACAGGGTGTCATTGCCGATGGTGGCTGCCAGGGTGGCACTGGCTGCCCCCGAGGTGGGGGCTGCTGGCATTGTCCATGTCTCCCTGTCCGGGCGTGTGAGCCGGGACTGAGGGTGTGTGTCAGTGCTGTGCCTGCAGACAGGACATGCTGGGGACGTGTTGGGGATGTGCCAGGGACCTGCCAGGGACATGTTAAGGGCACTTGCTCACTGCCCTGTCATCCAGGTGTGAGGGGTGCTGCATCACAGGCAGCGCTCTGCCCCAAGGCACATCTGAGACAGGTTGAGGCAGGAGTGGGATAAGGGGCAATGCCAGCACTTGGAGCACCCCCAGGGCGTGGAGCACCCCCCTGGTGCACTCCATAGCACTCCGGTGGCCTCAGGTGGAGCAGACACCAGAACACAGAGAGCAATCCCTGCCCTGGGGCCACAGCTGCTTCCCTGCTTGGCACCTGGACCTGCTGGAAACTAGAGACCTTGGGACCCATCTTTTCTCTCCTCCTTGGGACCCATCTTTCCTCTCCTCTGGGTGGCCATGAGGCTGTCATTGAGGTGAGGGAGGCAACTGGGCACATGAGTGTCCTCATGGGCAGTGGGGAGCAGCCCTGTAGGGCCAGTGGGGACTCTCGGGGCTCGGGGTCCCCTTGGGGTTGTGTCCCTGGGCACAGCAGGGACTGGTGCAATGGCCAGGGTAGCTGAGCACTGTGACACCAGCACCTTTGTGTGACTTTGCAGGGGTCACCACTGACCCCCACTGCACCCACCAGCCCTGCTCTCCTCATGTCCCCGGGGCAGAGGTGTGCCCTGGCCGATGCCCCCCGACCCGCTGGGTGCCACACGTGGAGCAGCCCGTGGCAGCCCCGGCTGTGCTGTGGAGCGGGGACACGAGGACACGGAGCTGGGGGGAGCTGAGGTGACACGAGGTGGGTGCCCCCCCGTCCTCGTGGGCAGTGCCCCGCAGGGATGTGTGGCGGACGGTTAACGAGGGCCGCTGGTCCGAGCGGCGCCCGCGGGCCTCGATGTGCTCTCGCTTCACGGCACCGGGGATTTGCCTCCGCCTGGCTGAGCATCCCCGGCCATGTGCCGGCCGTGGGACCGCACTGTGCCGGGCACGGCCCTGCTGGAGGTGCCACTGGTGCTCGGTGGCACAAGCACTGGCACCAAAGGGACCCACGGGAGGGGCGGGATGGGCTGAGCGCCACGGTGTCGAGGGCAGCACCTCGCCCTGTGCCGGGCACGGCGCTGTCCCAGTGCCAGAAGCGGGACCGGTGCCGCCGTCCCAGTGGGGCCGGTGCCGCGCAGGCTCGACGGGACCGGGGGCTGCGGGGCGGCCGTGCCTGCGTGTCTGGGGGGCCGGGAGCTAATCCCTGTGGAATGCCCTGGCCGGGGGAGAGGGGACGCCCGCACTGGGTGCAGGCAGCGTTGGGTTTCAGGGCAGCTGCCGTGCTGGAGCAGCGACAGGGACAGATGGCAGCAGGGCTGGCCCAGCCCTACACTGGGGGTCTTGGCCGTGCCTGGGGGTCTTGGCTGTGCCCACTGCCCTGCCCTGGCCACGGGTGCTGCTGTCTCTCCAGCCACTGGGGCAGGACAGATCCTGCCCAGGGCTCTGTGCCAGGCTGTGTGGTGTGGCATGTGGCACCCGCTGTCCCCCGCCAGTGCTCCCTGCATGTCCGGGGCTCCAGCAGGTATTTCTGTCTGCTTGGAGGATCAACCTGGTGCTTTTTGCTCAGTCCCACAGGCTGGTTGTCACTCCAGTGCTCCTGGGGTCACCGCTCCCAGCTGGGACACAAGTGGTGCCACCCCAGGTACCATCTTGGGATCTGGCACCCGGGGGCTGCCAAGCCCCGCTGCCTGTGGGTACCGAGCCCTGGGGGGAGAGGGCAGGGGACCCCCTCAGCTGCAGCCCCAGCACAGTCCCAGCCCAGCATCAGAGCAATGGCTGCTCTGCAGGGCGCAGCACTGGGGACTTGGGATGTGCAGGATCAGGGCCAGGGGATGGGCCGGCTTCCTGCAGCAGAAAATACCCGGAAGGTCTGCGGGGGGGCCGGGCTGGCTGTGTCCCCACAGAGCCCGGGCTGGGGGAACCCTGCTGGCACAGCCCCGGCCTGGGAGCTGCAGCAGCACCTCAGCCCCTCCCATGGGACCTGTGCTGTGCCCATGCCTGAGCACAGGGAGGGCTGATGGCCAGCCTGGGCTAACCCTGGCTCATATGGCACTGGTGTGGGCTGGGTGAGGAGCCGTGGGGTGGTGAGGAGCTGTGGGGTGGGTGAGGAGCCGTGGGGTGGGTGAGGAGCCGTGGGGTGGGTGAGGAGCCATGGGGTGGTGAGGAGCCATGGGGGCTGAGGACGGCGCCGGCCGTGTTTGCAGAGCCCACACTTTGCCCCTCGCTGAGGGCTGTGGAGAGCTCTGCAAACACGGCTGAGCCAGCGTGTGACATCAGCCCACGGCGGGTGCTGGTCACTGGGGTCCTGCCATCCCACCCCCCAGAGCTGGGGGCTCACACTGCAGCAGTGCCAGTGGGGCTGGAGCTGGGTGTCCTGGGATGGGTTGGGCATCATTCCGGGCAGGAGTGATGGCACTGCCCACTGTGTGGGTGTCAGGGTTGGGACCCTGGCACGTGCTTGAAGGTTTGTTTGCAGAGGGCTGATAACTGATAACGGGGGCTGGGGGAGCCACCACCGCTGTGGTTACCGTGGGCAGCTGTGACACATCCACTCCCTCAGAGGGCACGTGCCACGGCCTCACCGGGCGCTGTCACCGCCTTGGCACATGCAGTGGCTCCCTTGGGGTCCCCCGGGGCTGGCCAGGATGGGGGGCAATCCCCCCTCGGGGGCACAGAGTGGCCCTGTGGCCCCCGGCCCCACGCGGGGAGGGGGCTGCGCTGCTGCGGCCTCGTGTGCATTCCTGGGCCGTGAGTTCATGGCTGCGGGTCCAGTGGGGGCCGTGGGACGGTGACGTCAGGGGGCCCGCGCCCATCCTGCCTCCGCCGTGCTGCCAGGGCCGGCAGAAACCCCTCCATCCTCCTCCTCCGGGGAGAGCAGAGGGGTCCCCCTGCCTGTGGAGGGTCTCTGGCCTCATGTTCCCCCACGGCAGGGCCGAGTGGCAGCTGCTGGGGGATGAAGGGCAGCTTTGTCGTGGCAGTGCCTGGCAGAGCCCGGCCGGTCCCTCTGTGCATTGTGTGCCCAGCGCCTGGCACCCGCCCTGGGTGCCCCCCAGGATGGGGGCAGCAGCAGCAGGGCTTAGATGGGGGTCTCACTGCCTTCCAGAGGGGAGCCCAGGGACCAGCCCTAGCCCCTGTGGCCAGGAACAGCCTTGCTCCTGAGGACTGTGTTTGGGGATGACAGGGCTGTGCCCCCCTGCAGGCTCTACCTGGGGAGGATGGTGCTGCTCCAGGCTCCCCCACTGAGAGACTGTTCTGTTCTGCTCTGCCCCTGTTGCAGGGAAGCCACCATCCCCGATGGGAGACAGCGTGGCCCCCCCCCCCCCGCCGCCCCCCCCGCCCCGGGGTGCCCCGCAGAGAGAGCGCGCCCCCCCCCCCAGCGCGACCGGCCCGTCCCTCCAGACGTCGTCCCCTCCGAAAGGACCGTCCCGACCGTCCCTGCAGCCATCACCCCTTCCGAAAAGACCATCTTGCCTACCCCTGGAGCTGTGCCCCCCTCCCAGCAGCCCGTGTGCCCCCCAGCCGTGATGCCCCCCTGCGAGAGCAGCCCCCCGCAGCGTGACCGTCCTGTCCCTCCAGCCGTGACACCATCAGGACAGCCCGTGTCCCCCAGCCCTGTGGCCGTGGCCCCCTCAGCAGAGAGTGTCCCCCCCTGGCGTGACCAGGCCCCCCCCGGGCCCCCCAAGCCCCCTGGGACGGAGCACCCCAAAGCAGAGGCATCGCCCCACGCCCCCGAGCAGCCGGGCCCCGTCCACGCTGCCGCCCTGCGCCCAGCAGAGACGCTGCCCCCCGGGAGCCAGACCCCAGCCCCAGCTGCCAGGGAAGGGGCTCCCCCAGATGCCAAGAGCCCCCCGGGTGCCACAGCCGGGCCCTCAAAGGATGTGACCCCCCGGAGCGACCGCCCCTCGCCATCTCCTGCTGCCAGCCCCCGGCCCAAGCAAGGTGGGTGCCAGTGGGGTTGGGGTGCTCTGGTGATGCTGCAACCCGTGGGCACTGCTCAATGCCCATGGGGGCCAGGCGATATCCTGACAGTGTCTCCCCACTGCAGATGCCCAGAAAGCCCAGGCAAGGCACAAGCAGGCGAAGGAGCGGCGTGAGGAGCGGGCCAAGTACCTGGGTATGGGGCTGGGGAGCAGAGGGGGCTGCGGGGTGGGAGGGAAAGTGGATGGGGGGAGGCAGGGACTAAAGGAGCTTTGCCGGGTCATGGGCAATCCCATTAGCTGTGATGGGCTGAGCCTGAGTGGGCGCTGCAGTGCCGGCAGCTCTGCCTCCCATGCACGGCACTGACCCCCTGGCACACCACTGACCCCCTGGCACACGGGTGCCCCCCGGTTTGTGCAGGTGCCACCAGCTCGGTGCCCAGCTCTGCCGTGTGCAGGCAGCCCCAGGCAGCCCCAGGCAGCCCCAGGCAGCCCCACAGTGGCTCGGGGCACCGGGCGAGCGGGGCCCCCGCGCGCACATGGGGCCTCCTTGTCCCCGCGCTCTTTCCACCCTCATTCCCCCATTGTTCACCGCGCGGCTCGGCGGGCTCCCGGCGGGCTCCCGGCCTCCCTTTTGTCCTGGCCCAAACCCCTCCCTCGCTGGCCGGCCGGCCGCGATGCCGCCGCGTGCCCCGGCCACGGCCGCCCCACGGCCCCACGCCACCGGGTTGGGTACACGGCCCCGCCACGGGGCTGCCCAGGGCTGTGCCTCGGGTGCGACCCCGCTGCCCCCCACAGCTGCCAAGAGGGTGCTGTGGCTGGAGAAGGAGGAGAAGGCCCGGCTGCTGCGGGAGAAGCAGCTGGAGGAGCGGCGCAAACGGCTGGAGGAGCAGCGGCTGCGGGCGGAGAAGCGCCGGGCGGTCCTGGAGGAGCGGCAGAGGCAGAAGCTGGAGAAGAACAAGGTGGGAATGGGGGTCACGGTGCAGCGGGCGGGAGGGCTGGGGCGGCACATGGGATGTGATCCCTGTGGAGTCCTTATGGCTCCGGCAGTGCTTTGGGAGATGCTTCGTTAGCCCTTTGGGAGCTGCCCCCTGTGGCTGTCCTCTGCTGTGCCCATCCTTCACGGTGCAAAGCCTCAGTGGCACAGGTGCCCTGCTCCTTGGCACAGGTGCCCTGGCCAGGGTGGGTGTTGCTGCCCAGTTTCCCTCCGAGCACCCCATCGCTGCGATGGCCTCGCGCCGGGAGGCTCCGGCCGGTCCCAGCCCTGCTCCGGGCTCATCCCGTCCCTCTCCCTGGGGCAGGAGCGCTACGAGGCAGCGATCCAGCGGTCGGCCAAGAAGACGTGGGCAGAGATCCGGCAGCAGCGCTGGTCCTGGGCTGGGGCCCTGCACCACGGCTCCCCCGCACACAAGGACGGTGAGTGCCAGGCTGGGTGCGGGCACCAGGGATGCCGCGGCTCTGCCAGACCCTAACACCCAGCGCAGCCCCCCTGCAGTGGGGTCACACTGACGTCACCCTGGGCTGTGGCAGGGACCCGCAGGGTCCCTTGGCTTTTCCCTGCTCTGGTGGGGATGGGTGTGAGCCGGAGGCCGTGCATCACGGTCCCTGCTCTTCACAGGGATGTGTTGAGGGACAGCCCTGGCTACCTCGGAATGCTGTGGCTGTGCCCCCGGGTCTCCAGCAGCTGTGGGGAGCCAGGCAGGGGCTGTGAAGCTGTGCAAGGCTTCTGCAGGCTCTGGCTGGGGTCTGTGCTGTGGTGTGTCCCTTTGTGCCCCAGCTGGGTGGGGGCAGCGCTGGCCCCTTCAGCTCCAGTGACCGTGGGGGTGACCGTGGCCACGTGTGTGGCCGCAGAAGGTGGCCCCGCTCCTTAGGGGCTCCTCGGGGACACCCCGAGCAATTAGGCACCAGGGTTGGGCAGGTGGAGGTCTCCACTCGCCCCTGACTGCTGAGGGTACAGGGCTGTGCTGGCAGGTGCTGGCACTGTCCGGCAAGGATTGGTGACAGAGAGGGGAGTGCTGTGTCTCCAGGGTCTGTCTGCCCACCGTGGGGTGGCTGTGGTGGCCTTGGCTGTACCTGGTGGGGCTGTGTGCAGGTGTTGTGTTCCTGGCTGTACCTGGCCAGGCTGTGTACAGGCATTGTGTGCCAGGCTCTGTGTACTGGCACCATGTGCCACGTGTGTGCAGGTGTGTGCCTGGCTGTAGCTGGTGGGGCTGTGTGTACAGGCACCATGTTCTGGGTACACCCGTCCAGGTGCCGTGTGTGGCACACTTGGGGACAGCCCCACATGTCTGTGGTGCAACACCCAGCAGGGTCTGGCAAGAGGACACCTTCCCCTGCCACCTCCTGCGGGGGTGCACTGCCAGAGCTGCTGCCAGCTCTGACTCACCCATGTCCCACCTCTACCAGCCCAGAGCTTCCCTGGCTGTTTTGTCCAGAGGAGCCTGGCCAGACTGGGGAGATCCCAGCACTCTGTGGAGGTGCTGCCAGCCACCACCACCCTCTTGGCACTGCCATACTGACCCAGCAGCAGTGTGACGTTGTCTCGTGTCTGTCTGGACCTCACCCTGCTCCCCCAGGGTGGCTGCTTGCCAGTGCCACCGAGGTCTCTGGTCACCCTGCTCCCGATTCCCAGGACTGTTTTTGGGGAGACTGTTGTAGCATGGTTAAGGTTCAGGAGCTGCCCTGCCTCCCCAAGGATGAGATCCCTGCATGATCCCAGCATGACCCTGTGGGGTTCAGACACTGTCATGACAAATGCCAGTGCTGTGTGTCATGTCCCCAGACACCAGCGTCTCCTGCCATGTCCCCAGATAAGAGTATCTCCTGCCCCACTCTGTGCCATGTCCCTGGACTCCAGCATCTCCTGCCCCACTCTGTGCCATGTCCCTGGACTCCAGCATCTCCTGCCCCACTCTGTGCCGTGTCCCTGGACTCCAGCATCTCCTGCCCCATTCTGTGCCATGTCCCTGGACTCCAGCATCTCTCCTGGCCCCACTCTGTGCCGTGTCCTCCTGCTCCCACCCCAGTGCCCCGGCACAGCCGTGCATGCTGCATGCGGGGGGCCTGGCCCCGGCCCTGGGACCTTAATGCCCTTGTGTCTTTTCCCTCCTCCAGGTGCGAGCCGGTGCTCGGTGTCCGCTGTAAACCTCCCCAAACACGTCGACTCTATAATCAACAAGCGGCTCTCCAAATCCTCCGCCACCCTCTGGAACTCTCCCAGTAGAAGTAAGAGCCCTTTGCGTTTGCCCCAGCGCAGGGGGCACAGCCCAGTCCCCGCCCAGTGCTGGGGACCCCCAAGGCCAGGGTCCCCCGTCCCCAGGTGCCCGCGGAGAGAGGAGAAGCCGTTTGCTGTTGGCAGGAGGAGGCTGGAGCCGGCCAGCGGCTCCTTGAGGCTGCGCAGGCTGGGAAAAGGAGGAGGAGGAGGAGGAGGCGGAGGAGGAGGAGGAGGAGGAGCAGCTGGGTGCTGGCAGCCCCATGAGGCGCCAGGATGGGGATGGGAGCCTGGCTCCCTGCCCCAGGGCAGCTCTGGTGGGTGCAGGTGCAGCCACAGAGGGGCTGCCTGTCATTGACCCGCCTGAGGCCGGGCACAGGCTCCTGGGGCTGGTGCCACGGAGCACCGTGGCCGTGGTGCTGCAAGGTCGTCCCGGCCCTGGGAGTGCTGCCCAAGGCCGCGGCTGTGCCGGAGGGATGTGTCCAGCGCCGGGGCTGTTGTGTTTCGGGGTTGCCTGGAGATGGGCGCCTTCCCGGCCGGGTATAAATAGCCGGAGCAGCTGAGGCGGGCGGTGGTGACGCAGCGGCTCCCACCACCCCGCGCTGGGGCTCGGCCCAGGGGCAGCACCCGGGGGCTGCTGGCACCGCCCGGGCAGGAGAAGCATCTCCCTGGGCCGCTGCCAGACCTGCCACCCTGTCCCCCTGTGGCACCCCTGGCTCTGTGCTCTCCCCTCCCAGCAGCTGGTGCTGCTCCCGGCCTGACCTCTCGATGAGAGGGGTCCCATCTCCGTGGGTGCTTCCCGTGCGCCGTGGGGTGTTTGGTGCTGGTGACAGGCACTGGAGGGCAGCCAGGACAGCCCTGTGCCCAGCTGAGCCAGTCGTGTGGCTGGAGGTTCCTTGGGTGCCATGAGCCTGGCCTGGCACACTCAGTGATGTGGCACAGCTCCCATGGGGTGAGGGCACACTGCGGTGTCCCCACGGCAGCTGGCACCATGCCAAGGCTTCGGTCACACAGGGCAGGGGCATGGGGGGTGCACACCATCGCCGAGCACAAGGAGAGGGCACAGTGGAGGGGCTGGAGTCACCAGAGTGGCACGTGGTCCTGTGGGTACGTGGTGACTGGGGTGTCTGCAGGACACAGGGGCACCATCGTCGTCCTGCCACAGCGCCGTCCCATGGATGCCCAGCTGCCCACACACGCTTGTGCCCACGTGGCCCCTCGTCCTGCTCAGCTGTGTGAGGCTGTGGGGACCCTTCCAGCCATCTGGGGCCGTGGGGACCCCTCCCCAACACGGCCGAGCTCTGGGCACTCCTGGAACTACACATGTGCCCTGGCCTTGCCACAGCCACACGGCCATTCCCTCGCAGCGGAGGCCGTGGGGCTGAGATGGGGTCTGGGGGCTCAGGGTGCACTAATGGCCCTTCTCCCTCCCTAGACCGGAGCTTGCAGCTGAGCCCGTGGGAGAGCAGCATCGTGGACCGGCTGATGACACCCACCCTGTCCTTCCTGGCGCGCAGCCGGAGCGCCGTGACGCTGGCTGGGAACGGCAAGGAGCAGGGTGAGCACTGGAGGGGACAGGACATGCAGGTCCTGGCACAGACAGGGGAGTGGGACGAGGGAGCCTGGGGCCAGCGGGGAGCTGGTGTTGGTGTTGGCTCTGTCCTGACTGTGGTCACTCCTCCCCCAGTGCCCGTGTGCCCCCGCTCGGCCTCCGCCAGCCCCCTCAGCCCCTGCCACAACCACCGGCTGCCGCACCGGTGCTGGGAGCGGCGGAAGGCGGCCACCGCCAGCCCCGACGTGACGCCGCGCCACAGGACCGAGCCCTCGCCCGTGAGTGCCACCTCTGCGGGGACCCGGGGGGTCACGGGGGCTCAGCTCTCGGCTGAGCCGAGCACCTGGCGCTGACACGGTCTCTGTCTCTGTCTGTCCCTGTCTGGAGCAGAAGAAGAAGGAGAAGAAGGAGAAGGACCGGGAGAACGCCAAGGAGCGCAGCGCCCTGTCCCGCGAGCGCAGCCTCAAGAAGCGGCAGTCGCTGCCAGCGGCACAGCCCCGGCTCCTGCCTGCGGCCGACAGCAGGTCGGGACCCCCCCAGCGAGGCTGCCTGGCCCCCTGACCCCCCCGGGGCCTGTCCCAGCCCCAGTAACACCATCTCCTGTTCCATTTGCAGCCCGGGCCCCAAGAACCGTCCCTCGTCACCTGCCACCCCCAAGAATCGTCCCTCATCCCCTGCCACCCCCAAGAACCGTCCCTCGTCCCCTGCCACCCCCAAAGCCCGCCCAGCATCCCCCAGCCCGGCCCTCGGCTCTCCCCACAAGCCCCCCCTGCCCCGCAGTGCCCACTCCTCCCCCAAGGTGCGGGCCAGGGCACGGGAGGAGCGGGGGGAGCAGGAGAGCCCGGCGAAGGCACGGGAGAGGAAGGAGGAGGAGCGGGGCCCGGCGCCCCCAGCCCTTCCCGAGCCTCCCAAGGTGCCTGTGGAGCCGACAGCAGGTGGGTACGGGGGGGCCGTGGGGCGGCAGGGACGGGGGGAGCCAGAGCAGCCCTAACCCTGCCCGCACCCTGCAGCCCCCCCAGCCCCTGCAGCCCCCGGCCCCGTGCCGGCCAGCCCCCCAGCCAGACCCCCGGCCGGCACCACGGACCGCGAGGAGGCCGCCCGGCTGCTGGCGGAGAAGCGGCGCCAGGCCCGGGAGCAGCGGGAGCGTGAGGAGCGAGAGCGCCGGGAGCAGGAGGAGCAGGAGAGGTGGGTGCTGCACCCCTGGCCCTGGCCCCGGCCCCCCTGCCGTGCTGAGGGCCCCCTTCCCGCAGGCGGGCGCAGGAGGAGCGGGCGGCCGAGGAGCAGAGCCGGAGGGAGGCCCTGGCACGGCGGAGGGACGAGGAGCGGCGGCTGCAGGAGGAGCGAGAGGCCCAGGAGGCCCAGGAGAGAGCCCGGGCTGAGCGGGAGGAGACGGAGCGGCTGCAGAGACAGGT